GACGCTGGTGACGACGATGACGACGTCGATGATGAAGATGATGATGATGCTGATGACGATGACGATGTTGAGACGACGATGATGAGGCTGTGGATGATGGTGGTGGTGTTGATGATGATGCTGTTGATGGGGATGTTGATGCTGGGTGGTGATGGTGGTGATGACGATGACGATGACGGTATCGATGATGAGTATGATGATTGTGATTATGATGACGATGACGAGCTTGAGATGATGACGATGCTGATGATGATGGTAATGATGAAGATGCTCATGCTGATGGCAATAATGCTGCTGCTGATGATGTTGCTGATGATAACGCTGCTGATGCTGATGATCACGTCAACGATGTCGATTATGAAGCTGGTGATGCTGCTGATTACGATCATGGTGTTGAGATGATGACGATACTGTTGATGATGATGGTTGTGGTGGTGGTGGTGATGATGCTGCCGTTGATGAGGATGATGATGGTCATGATGGGTGGGCTCGGGGCGCAAAGGGGGCCTGGTGGATTTCATGTGTGTTCTTTTTCGGGCAGAAAGCCTATGCGAATCTCCCCGTACGACCCCCCCTCTCTCTCGATATTTCCCGTTATCTTTCTCTGTATCTTTTTCTATGTATCTCCCTTGCTCTCTCTCTCTCTCTCTCTCTTCTTTCCATTTTGCTGCGTCAGAACTCATCCTCCTTTCCATAAAGAGGAAGGGAAGGGAACCTCCTCTTCCTCCTTCTACTCCTACGCCTCTTCCATCCCGAAGGAAAGTGAAGGGGACATTTCCTTCTCATTCGCCTCCCCCTCCTCCTCCTCCTCCTCCTCCTCCTCCTCCTCCTCCTCCTCCTGAGGGAAAGGGAAGGAACGACGCCGCATCCTCAGCCTCCTTCCTGACAGAAAGGGCAGGGGATGACCCTGCTCCTCCTCCTATTCCTCCTCCTTCTGATGGACATGGGCAGGAATGTGACCTCCTCCATGCCCTCCCTGAGGGAAAGAGGAGGAACGGAGTTTCATCCCCCTCCTCCTTCTGAGGGAAAGGAAAGGGAAGAAACCTCCTCCTCCCCCGCTGTCCTGAAGGGCACGGAACATCCTCTTCTCCTTCCTACCGGAAAGGGAAGGGGAGATACCTCCTCCTCCTCCTCCTTCTGATGGAAGGGGAAATGGCGGAACCTCCTCCTCCTCCTCCGCCTCCTCCGCCTCCTCCGCCTCCTCCTCCTCCCCCTTCCTGAGGGAAGGGAAGAATGAAATTCCCCCTCGTCTTTCCTGAGAGAATATGAAGGGAGTGAGCCTCCTCCTTCCCCTCCTCCCTCTGAGGGAAGGGGAAGCGAATGAGCATTCCCCTCCTCCTCCCTGGGGGTCAGGGAGGAGAAGGGAACCGCCTCCTCTTTCTTCCTGAGGGGAAGCAAGGGAAGGATTGTTTTTCGTCTTCCCCTTTCCGCCTCCCGAGTGAAAGGGCAGGGAATGGGCATCCTCCTCCTCTTCCTCCTCCTCCTGCTAGAAAGGGACAGGAAGGCGACCTCCTCCTCTTCTTCCCTGAGGCAAAAGGGAAGGGAAGGAACCTTCTTTCCCACTTCCTCTTCCTCCTCCTCTTTCTTTTTGTTTGAAATGGGATGAAAAGGGAAGGAACTACCTCCTCCTCCTCTGCCCTGATGGAGAGGGAATTGAAGGAACATCCTCGTCCTATATCCTGAGGGAAAGCAAGGGAAGGGGGCCTCCTCCTCCGTCCTGAGGGAAATGGAAGGGCATGAGCCTCCTCCTCCTCTGCATCCCCCTCCCTGAGGGAAGGCAAGGGGGTGAATTTCCTCCTCGTCCTTCCTGGGGGAAAATGAAGGGAGTGTGCCTCCTCCTTCTCCTCCTCCCTCTGAGAGGAAAGGGAAGCGACTGGGCATCCCCCTCCTCCTCCCTGGGTGACAGGGAAGGGAAGGGCGCCGCCTCCTCTTTCTTCCTGCGGGAAAGAAAGGGAAGGGGTATCCTTCTTTTTCTCCCCTCCTCCTCCTGGTGGAAAGGGCAGGAGCGGAGCCTCGTCCTCGCCCTCCGTCCTGAGGGAAAGGAAGGGAATGAACCTTCTCCTCCTCGTCCTCCTCCTCTGGATGGAAGGGGGCAGGGTGGGGGTCTCCTCCTCTTCTTCCCTGGGGCAAAGCGAAGGGAAGGAACCCTTTTTTTCCCACTTCCTCCTCCTCCTCCTCCTCATCCTCTTTCTTTTTGTAGGAACAAGGGGATGGAACGGGAAGGAACTGCCTCCTCCCCCCCTCCTGTGCCCTGGTTGAAACGGGATTGAAGGAACATCCTCGCCCTATATCCTGAAGGAAAGCGAAAGGAAGGGGGCCTCCTCCCCCTCTGTCCTGAGGGAAAGGGACGGGGTCGAGCCTCCTCCTCCTCTGCGTCCTCCTTTTTGAGGGGATGGGCGGGGAAGGGGAGTTCCCGCCCCTCCGCCTTCTCTTTCCTGTAAGAAAGGGAAGGAGCTTAAGATGATTGAGGGTCTCCCTCTATGAGGGCCCCTTTTGTGGGGGGTCGCGCATGTATTCCTTTTGTGGGGAGGCAAATCTAACCCTTGTGTGTGAAGGGGGTGCACGGTGATTCCATTTGTGGCGGAATTACACATTTATTCCCTTTGGTGGGGGGTTGCGAATCTGTTGTGTGCTATAGATTCCCATTGTGGCGGAATTGCACATCGATTTTCTTTGTGGGGGCTACAGACATTTTTGCTTTGGTATACGCATTGGTTCCCTTTGCTGCTGACTTACACATCGAGTCCCTTCGTGGGGGGTGAAACATGAATTCTTTTTGTGTGAGAGGGGGTGCAAATTGATTCCCCCTGCGGCAGAGGAGAGGGGGAGGGGGGGGGGCTGGCCCTGGGGGAAGGCCCCCCAGCAAACAAAAAACACATCGACCCCCCTTAATCCACTGGGCTTAAACCATGTTTTTCAATGTTCCGTGTTCTGTTCTCACCAGAAACATTTGACCCGTGGATTCAGGGGGGCAGATATGTTTTTTGTTGCTGGGGCTTTTCCCCCGGGGCCAGACCCCCTCCCCCTTCCGCCGCGCAGGTAATCAATGTGTACCCCTTCGCACAAAGGGAATATATGTGTAACCTCCCACAACGGGAATCGATTTGTAATTCCGCCAGGACCGCCACAAATGGAATCGATATGCAGGCGCCGCAGAGAGGGAGAGAGAGTGCGAGAGAAAGAGAGAGAGAGAGAGAGAGACAGAGAGAGAGAGGGAGACAGAGAGAGAGGGAGGGAGAGAGAGAGAGAGAGAAAGACGCATGAAGCCCTCAGAGAGCCGAAAGCCCGTCTACTCATCCAGTGTGTAGCTGAACAACGGAACGCGTAAAATCCACCAGGCCCCCTTTGCGCCCCAAGCCGATGGGTGGTGATGATGCTGAGGGCGATGGCGATGTTGATGATGCTGGTGATGGTGGCACTTTCAGAGACGATGGTGATGAAGCGGGTGACAATGCTGCTGATGATGAGTTTGATGATGACGCTGATGGTGCGGATGCTGATTGTTAGTATGACGATGTGGACGTTGATGATGATGCGGATGATGATGTTGATGATGAGGATGATGCTGATGCTGATCGTGGTGATGAGGCCGATGAAGATGATGCGGTGGGTGATGATTATGAGGATGATATGGTGATCATGATAGTGATGGTGATGTTGCTGATGATGCTGATTGTAATGATGATGCTGATGGTAATGCTGGTGCTGATGATGATGTTGAGGCTGATGTTGATGTAGATGATGATGATGATGCTGATGATGATGATGATGGTGATGATGATGATGATGATGATGGTACTGATGACGATGATGATGATGATGATGATGATGATGATGATGATGATGATGATGATGATGATGATGATGATGATGATGATGATGATGATGATGATGATGATGATGATGGGATGATGATGATGGGGAGGGGGATGGGGGGTACGGATGGGGGAAAGGGAGGACAAGCAGGAGGATGAGGAGCGGGACGTGGGAGACTTAGGGGGGAGAGTGACTGGGAAGCGGATTCTGTGAGTGGTGATGGTCATTGTGGTGGTGCTGATGATGGTGCTGATGGTGGTGGTGGTGGTGACGATTGTGTTGATGTAGCTGGGTATGTTTCAAGCTCTCCTCGGGCGAACGACCGCCGTCTCCCCCCTTTCAGGGGACTACCTATGTGGTCGAACGTTGGGCCACCGTCTGGCCCAGCTACTGGGCTACGTGTGTGTTCCTAGCCGTTGTGGGGGCCCTTTGGAGAGAGAGAGAGAGAGAGAGAGAGAGAGAGATAGAGAGAGAGAGAGGAGAAACAAACGGAGAGAGAGAGAGAGAGAAAAAGAGAGAGAGAGATCCGTAGCCATTTTGCCTCAGCGCCATTCGGCACCTGATGACCGCCATTGGGCCAAACTTTTTCATCTTCTGTTTTCTTCCAACATAGTGGCTGGGACCAGTGCGCTGCTCGCGCGGGAAGCCGGGGCCGGGAGGCAGCCGTGGTGGCGAGGGGGCATGGGGAGGCAAGAGCGGCGGCGGCAAGAAACATAAGCTTGCTGGCCCTCGAAGCTCGGAGCGTTGGGTGCCGGAGCTGTGTCTCAGACAGCCTGGTGCTGAACTACGTGCTGCGAGCCAGATGACGGCGGCATCAGTGAGCTCAACTTCTCCGACAGGCTGCAGTGCAAGTGGTGCAGGTTGCCCGAGGCGGCGATGTTCGCGGGCGAGCCGGCAGCGAGTGGGTCGTCGAAGCGGCTGGAGGTGATGGCACTGACGGCAACGAAGCGATGTTGCAGCTGGCGAGGGCGAAAGCGTGCATCAAGGAGCTCGAAGCGCTGGCGGGCAAAGGGGCTGCGAGTCCGTCCAGCAGGCCCGACGACGGTGGGCGTCTGCGCCGTGGAGAGAGCCCTCTCCCACCTCCGAGAAGTAGCGCCGTGCGGTGGTGGACAGGCAGCTGGCGGCCCCGCATTCCTTCGGCGAGGCTGAGGAGTTCTGCAGCAGCATGCGCGCAGCTGCTGGAGGAGCAGGCCGCGCTGCGCAAGTTTCTCTTCCAGGCGGAGCCCGTGCAGGCGCAGGTGAAGTCGTGGAGCGAGAGGATCAAGAAACGGGATGAGCAGCTCGAGAAGGCGCGGCGTGAGCTCGAGGAGACGGCGCGCCATGCGCGGGAGCTGGCCGACGCTGGGCAAGCTTCTTGGCAGCTTGGCGGTCGAGACGCCCCTCCTCGACCAGGTGCCCGGGCAGGCCGAGGGGTCGGTGCGCGAGCGGGGGGCGGAGGCCTCAGCTCGGGCGCAGGAGGCTGCTGCCACTGGTGCGGCTGGGTCCCCGAGTGCTGCCAGATCGAGCGCAGGCCCCAAGCCCGAGATCGAGGCCAAGGACATCGCGGCAGGCGACGACGACATGGGCGCCGGGGAGCTCCCCGTGGCGAAGCAGCTGCGCGTGCTCAGCCAGATGGGCCAATTTCCCCCTGCAGAAGGTGGCAGTGCTGGTCCAACTGATGATGCTGTGCGAGCTGAGTACAAGCGTTTCTGCTCAATGATCGTGGCCGCCGTTATGCGAGCTCTTCGCGCCGAGGGGCGTCGTCGCGGAGATGATGATGCTGAATGTGAGCGTGGACTGGGGTGCGTGCTACAGCGGGCTTTGCGACGCGGAGCAGCTGGTCGCCTGGGAGTTGGGCGACCCCCAGGAGGTGAACCTCTTCGGGCAGCGTCAGAGCCCCGCCGGCGCGCTTCTGGCCCCGTCGGGAGGGCAGGGGCACCACGTTTCGGCCCCAGGGCGCGGCTTGGGCTGGGTTTCGGCCTCTGGGTGCAGCTCTCGGGATGGGTCGCAGCGTATCAGCCCTTGGGCGGGGCGTTGGCTGGTCCCGCCCAGCCTGCCCGCCCCGCGTGGACATGTGCGGTAGTGGACCTGCGCGGTGTGCTGCTGACCTGGCAAATCCTGGGGAATCTCCTTTGGGGAACACCTCAGGTTCATGGTCGCTTTGCTGTGCTCCTTGCTGCTTGCCATGCGGCGGCCCGCGCTTTCCTTGCGGGCCCGGGCAGCGGGGTGCTTGAGCGCGAGTGGCTGGCGGCGCGGGGCCCGCCGCTGCCCCGCCCGCCGCGGCCCTGGCCTGGCGGCCCCAGCCAGGGCACGTTCAGGGCGGGGAGAGGTCTCGCTCCCCGCCCAGGGGGGCGGCGGCCCAGGAAGATGCGCCTGCTGAGGAAGACGGGGGGCGGGGGGGGGGCGGAAAGTGACCCCTTCTTCTGCCCCGGCAGCGGCGTGGGCGCGGCTGATGGGCAGCGGCCGCGCAGGATGCCGACGGACTGCAGCAGGAAGACCTCGCTGTCGAAGCAGTGTTGGCGCTGTGCGACTGGGCGGCGATCTAGTTGCTGGCGAGGGGCATCGGGAAGTGCGCGGCGGCCTGGGCGCGCGACGTCGCCGGCGCGGAGGGCAGCGTCGACTCCTGGTCGCTGTGGGCAGGTGCCTGCGCGAGGCATGTCATGGGCCAAGCCCCGCTGGACAACTGGGTCGCGGTGCTCCCCGGGCAGGTCGATGGCCCGCCGATCGACGCGTTCGTGGGTGACGTGGTAGCTGGGGCCTGGCTTGCGGTAGCTGACTGGAGGCGCGCGGCAGCGGGCAACCTGAGCGCGCGCCTGCGCGCGCGAGTGGATGCGCGTCGTTGCGCTCCGCTGGGCCGCGCTGCGGAAGACCATCGCGACCTTTGCGACTGAGATGGAGTGGATGGTGCCGCCGCTGTGCTCGCTGCCGTGCTGGGCGCTGCCGCCGCGCGGGGGGCCTCCAGGCCTCGGCTCCTCGCCCGCGAGGGGGGCGCTTCCAGGGCGGCGTCGCAACTGCGGCGCCAACCCTGGCCCGTCACGGGCGGCGACGTCCAGCCCCGCCCCGACGCGGCGCCCTCGGGGTCGAGCCAGGGGCCGCGGGGCGTCAGTCGCGCGCAGCAGGGGCCTCGGCCAGAAGGCGTCGAGGCTCGGCCTGCGGGCGCGGGGGAAGCTGCCGAGGAGAGCGGCCAGGGCGGCCGGGCTGACGGCGCCGACGGCAGCGGCGCTGGCGGGCCCGGGCCCGGGCCCGGCCAGGCCCCGGTCGGGCGCGGCGCTCGCGGCGCTGGCCCTCGCCGCCGCGGCCGCGGGGCGGAGGGCCGCGGCGGCCCCGGAGGAGCGCGGCAGCGATGATGCGCCGAGGAGCGCGAGGTCGCAGTCGAGGTCGCGCGCGGTGGCGGCGCCGGCGCGAGCGGCAGCAGGGCCGACATGCGAAGCGAGGAGGCTCAGGATGTCGCGGGCCCTGGGCGCGACGCGCGCGCGGCGGGCCCGCGCGGCTTCCGCGGGAAGCGCGGCGATTTCGCGATGCTCGAGGGCCGCGGCAGGCCCGATGGCTTCAAGTTGGCGTGCAAGGGCGCTCTCCCGCGCGCGGGGGCGGCCGGCGCTGGCGAGAAGCGGAGGCGCCAATGCCTAGTGCTAATGCCTTGCCTTTGGAGGCGTCGACCCGTGCGCGGGCAGGGCGCTGATTCCTCAGGGTTCGGGGTCAGCGCAACCCGTTGGCGCGGTGCGCCGCGGGCCCGCGGCGGCTGCCCGCTTCCGCGCCGCCTCGAGGTGGGGGGCCCGAGGCGCGAGCTGCGCGCCGCCCCGCCCATGGGCGCGGCGCGGCTGCGACGGGCCCGCACTTCGTCGCGCCCAAGCGCCCGCGGGGTTGTGGCTGGGCGCGCAGGCGGCGTCCAGACAGAGAAAGAGAGAGAGAGAGAGAGAGAGAGAGAGAGAGAGAGAGAGAGAGAGAGAGAGAGAGAGAGAGGGAGAGAGAGAGAGAGAAAACAAGAGAGATAGGACAGGAACAAGAAAGAGAGATATAGAGGATACAGAGAGATAACCAACAACAGAAGCATACAGAGACAGAGGGAGAGAGAGATATTAATAGAGAGAGAGGGAGAGAGAGAGAGAGAGAAAGAGAGAAAGAGAGAGAGAGGCAGAGCGATATATACATATATACATAGAGAGAGAGAAAGAGAAAGAGAAAGATACATATAAAGAGAAAGAGAGGGAGAGGGAGAGAGAGAGAGGGAGAGATCTATAAAGAACGATCGTGAGAGAGAGGGGGGGAAGAGAGAGAGAGAGAGAGATAGAGAGAGAGAGAGATACATTATCATTATATATATATATGTAAGGAGAGAGAGAGAGAGAAGATAGCGAAAGAGCGAGAGAGAGATAACTATCTACACGTACATATACACATATATGCATACTTATATCTTACAGTTATAGGGTCATGTACTGAGGAGGAGGAGGGAGAAAAGGGAGGAACGGGAAGAGTAGGAGGAATATGAGGAGGATCGGGGTAAACCATATATCTATCAGCGCTGCGGCAATGCATCCTCGCGTCCTAAGTCCACTCGTCACGCATCCCTGGCAGCTTTTCTGCTCAGTGCCAGAAGCGCCCCTCTCCCCCCCGCCCCCCCCCCTTTTGAACAACCGGCACAGTTGGGCCTGCTATTTTGGCGTGGGCCCCGCTTCGAAGCGAGATTGCCTTGCATCTTTGCGGCGTACAACCAGGATGGCGAGACGCTTTGATCAGACAGGTCAACGAGGTGTCAAGCGACTCTTCCCTCTCGAAGACAGACCGCCCCTCATTCGTGTAACAGCTGCACAAAAGTACACTTGTGGCTATGCATTCCTAGGACTTTTCATGCGACAGCTCCATATGTCGAAGTTGCGGGTCTTTAGGATTCGCGACGCCTCAGGCAAAGCTCCCATCTTGAAACTAGCATTCATTCATCCTGGTTAAACTGCGTCATTAATGAACGATTCCGCGCGGCGTTGAGACGAGCACCGCATTTTGGAAACCATAGGTGCTCTATCTTGGAAGCTGTTGCAAGATTTTGAAACGAATTTGCCCATCGCTAAGGCGAGGACCTCACTTTGAACCGGCACCGCCCTCCATTTTCGAAGCTGCTGCAAACTTTTTTTGCGAATGTGCGCGGCGCTGAGGCGAGAATAACATTTTGAAGACGGTCACCCCTCCATTCCTCATTCGGTTGCAAGTTGTAAAGACGATGGTGCACGGCGCGAGGGCGCTACATTTTGAAACGGTGCTGATGTCTATCCCCGAAGCTGCTGCAAACTTTGACGGCGACCATGTCCAGCGCCAAGGCGGGAACAACCTTTTGGAAAAGGAGACGCCCTCCATCCTTGAAGCGGTGGCAAGCTTTTAAGACGAATACGCGCGGCCGTAGGGCGAGCGCCACCTATTGAAATTGCCCCCTTCATCGTTGAAGCCGCTGCAAACTTTTGGGAAGAATGTTCGCGGAGCTCAGGCTAGAGCTCCATTTTGAAAACGAGCCGCCTTCCATTTTGAGTCAGTTGCGAATTTCAAGCTTCACCGTTACAAATGGCGAGGAAGTGTCAGGCGACACGCCTGGCCCGCAAGACCAACACGTCTGGGGGTGAGACAGGACAGGGTGGGCTTATTCAAAAAGAGAAGGGGCAGAGGTGGAGGATGAGGAGGAGTAAAAGGAAGAGGAGGAGGAGGAGGAGGAGGAGGAGTAGTAAAAGGAAGAGGAGGAGGAGGAGGAGGAGGAGGAGGAGGAGGAGGCTTTTTGGGGGCCTTGGAGGGCCACGGGGGGGCTTCTTGGGGGCTTCTTGGGGGCCTCTTGGGGGCCTCCCCCTCGGTAGGCGTCTTGGCACTGGGCCGTCTTGGGACTCTTGGGGCCCTCTTGGGGCTGTATTGGGGCCTCTTGGGCCTTTTTGGGGTCCTCTTTGCCCATCTTGGAGGGTTTTCTCTTTAACTCGATTGCGATTGGAACGCTTGAGGAGGGGAGGGCCCACGGAAAGGGGGGAGCGACGCCGGCGCCCACGACGGCGACTCAAGCGGAAAAGCCTTTCACACACGCCGACAGCGTCGGCGATTTGTTTGACGGCCCTGGGTGCTCGAAAAATTCGGCTACACGTGGGAGTGACCCTCCGCCGGAGTGACCTTTGGTGAGCGGCTTCCCGGGGGCCGAGCACACAGGCCGCCACTGTCGCATCACATGCAACGATTGGCAAGCCGCACTCCAACGATCATCCCTGCGTGTTCCGAACAGCGACCTATGGAGGCCACGGAGGCCGAAACAGAGGGACTGCGCCTGGATTGAACATGAGGTCCTTGGCACGTAAGCTGCCGCTGGTGGTTTCCTCATCTTCCTCCTTGAGGGGTCTGGGGACTGGCGTTCAGCCCGTTTTTGCTGTTTGTCGTCGTCGCGGTTACGGTGGTCGTCGTCTTCGTGGTTGTCGTCTTGGTGGTGGTGGTCGTCGTCGTCGTTGTAGTCGCCGCTGTGGTCGTGGTCGTCGTCGTCGTCGTCGTCGTCTTCGTCGTCGTCGCCGTCGTCGTCGTCGTCGTCGTCGTCACAGTCGCCGCTGTGGTCGCCGCCGCCGTCGTTGTCATGTTCGTGATCGTCGTGGTCGTGCATCGTTGTTCTCCGCGCGCGCCGCGGAGGTGCAGATCAAGGCCATCGAGATGATTCTCCAGACGAAGGGCCTCAACTCTCCGAAGGTGCGGCGAAGGACAAGCGGAATCAAACCAGAGGAGGTCAACTACGGTCGGGTTTTTTTACTTAGCATGCCGTTCCGTCGGTTCTGGCCAACCACGCTTCGGCGCGACATGCTAAACACGCCCCGGTCCCCGAGCGTCGACTTTCCGATCTTTTCCCATCCTCCCGCCCCGCGATGGTAGCGACACGCTATCAGCTCGCAGGGCATAGAGGGTCGCCGGGGCCACCGCCGCGACACGCTGAGGAAAATTAAAGGCCTGTATAACCCTGCGCCTCCGATCATAATCCTCGGGGGATGATAAAGTTCGGGGGTCTGGCGGGGATAATCAACGATTTTCTCGGCGAAGGTGATGATGATGGTGATGGTGATGATGATGATGATGACGATGATGATGATGATGATGATGATGATGATGATGATGATGATGATGGTGATGGTGATGGTGATGGTGATGGTGATGGTGATGGTGATGGTGATGATGGTGATGGGATCCTGGGCGCTCGTATAGACTGACCTTGTAGATCTCGGCACAGGACTGTCTCGAGAGATCTCGAGTCTCGTGGCTACAACTTGTCTGCGCAAGAGAGGTCCTTGGCGCTCCTGGCCAAGAAACCTCTCTTGCGCACGACCTCGAACCACTCGCCCATGCAGGCTCGGCACCCTTTGGAACCGTCTTTGCACGGGAGGCACTTGGTGGGGCCTGGGCAGCAGCGCTTGCCTCCTCGAAGGTGGCGTGCTTCGGCTCGACCGCCGTGGGGTCCTTGAAGGGCTTGGACTTGGCCTTGCTCTTGGCCTTGGCCTTGGCCTTGGCCAAGTCGCTGTCGCTGGCCTCCTTTTGCTTGTTGATCCACTCGTTGCCTCGGGCGCACATCGTGTTCGTAACTTCTCCCGGGGATTATCAAGTTCGGCCTCCGCGCCCCTCTCCACAATTAAATCCTATTGATACGGGGCAATAAATATTCATGGGGCTAAGGGGGGTATGATTTATTATCTGGGGCACGGGGTTACAGATCCATCCCGTTCCTTCGCCTCCCCGCTTCCAGGCCTCCCGCTTCCAGGAAGGAGGAAGTGACCAGAGCAGGATGTGGGAGGGAGGAGCACGAAGGAGGACCTGTGTCGATGTCGGGTTCCTTTCGGAGTCGTCCAGACCTTCAGGCGTTGCTGCAAACGTCACGACTGGGAGGCTTTCAGCGCGCGGGCCATTTGGGCCCCAGGACTCGCAGAGAACGGCCCCACGGCGAGAGCCTGATCCCAGGGATGGTGCCAAGGGTTCCAGGGGCATTGGCCGTGAAATTGTCACGACGTCGGAGGTCTGGGAACGAGGCTCTCCGCCGTGAGGGACGCTCCGGGGTCCCGACACCGCTTGGCGACAGGTGGTCTGATGGCATCGAGGTCCCGAAGGCCGGAGAGGACTGCCACCAGAGTGCACGGGGACGTTTCGGAATCTCAAGGCGCTCGAGACATCCTCGGAGAGCGACCCGGAGTGCCAAATCGGCCCGCTCACCCCGAACCACCTCTGACTCACCGGACGACGTGGTCACTAGATCGTTCGGGGGGGCCCCCAAAGCGCCCTGGGGCCCAGGCGCCCCCTAGTATTCGAATCTCCCCCCCGCCAGAGAAAGCCCCAAGCTGCACAAACATAGACTTCCTTGGCGGTCCGCGCGGATCTCTCGGGTCCGGCTCCCGGCCCCCCCCCGCCACCAGGGGGCGTCAGCTAGCCACCTCACCGATCCTGGCTGGGGTCCATCCTGGGCCCAGGTTCTGCCCGGCCGCCGGCCACACCCTCTTAGGGTCGGCCTAGGATCCTGGGCGACAGGATCGGCCCAGGGTCAGCCCCACCCTCTGATCGGATCGGCCAGGCCCAGGATCCTGGGCCCAGGATCGGCCCAGGTGGTCATTCGACGTCCCCCCTCCCCACGCCGTCTTCCCGGCACACGGAGAGCGCCAGGGGCCGCGCCGGGGGCTTTCGCCAGGGGGCGTGCGGAGAGGTGGTCCAGCGCCGTGCTCCAGTACGTCCGCAGCCTGACCTCCGAATCTGCGTGCGCGCGGCCACGGGGTCTCGAGGTCGGCACTGCGCTCGGAGCCGCGGGAATGATTCAGGAGCGAAAGAAGGACGTACACGTACATGAATCCACGCTGGTTTCGAGAGCACGCACTGCGCGAATGCTCGTATCATGCGGCCGGTGTCGCGGATGGAGGGCCCGTGTTCACGTACATAGTTAGGCGTGTACGTCCTTTTTGGGCTCCCTAGGAATGGGGTGCTAAGGCAAGGGCTGGCGGACACCCCACGCGGCAACCAGCCCAAACACACCCGCCACACAAGTGGATGCTTAGCGCGTGCACACCAACACGTGTCGATGCGAAGAGCTTTCACATCAATTCGTGTTGACGTGAAGGCCCTTCACATCAACACGTGTTGACGTGATGGCCCGTCACGTCAACATGTGTTGGTGTGAGGGGGGGGCGCTGTCAACAAGAAAACTATCATTTCATCAACGCTAGTCCTGCACAGCGCATCGATATACACGATAACACACCGTAATAGGCGTTACCAACTCGTCTGCGAATACATATCGACGTGACCAGCGTACGTAGGCTTCCTCTGAACTTCACAGGTCTAATATGCAGCGCGGACCCTGGAGCAGCGAATCTCCAAATCACGGATCTGCATCGGCGGCCGAAAAGTGCCGTGACCGAGCGGACGCTCGTTCTTCCTCCTCCTCCTCCTCCTCCTCCTATCAATCATCCGCCACTCCCATCGTCCTCCCCCTTACTGACCCTCCGCATCTTCATCTTTCGATTATCATCTAGTAGGTACTCTCGGCATTACTCATCATCCGTTCAGCCATCCTCGGCCCCCCACTGGCGCATTGTCATCACCATCATTGTCATGCCATGTTTTGTTGTAGTGCCAACCCCCCAACCCGCATTCCTCGCATAGCCCTCAGTACCTATCGTGCGTCATGTGTCCTGTCTCCTCGTTGCCGCGCCCTCCGTGTCATGATTTATCATCCCCCGTTTACCTTCAATCACCCATCCATCCATCCATCCATTCATCATCCCGTCATCCGCATCTTACTTTTACGCATCTTCGCCCCTCCCCTGATCCTCAATTCCTCCGTGACCATCCGTATGCCTACTATTGCGTCCCGTACAAAGGGGGACGCGGGCTGGGGTGGTGCGGGCAAAGGAAACAACGACACAGTGCAGATATCAAGCTAGCAGCATGCTCATAATCTGTCATTCTGAAAGGTCAGTGGCAACACGCGCTCCCCATCTACGCGCATTGACATCACAGTCCACAGAAACACCGCATCGACCGATGCGTGCCATGCCATTAGATGGCTCGTGAAAGCAGCAATGCATACTCGTATGCAGGTTACCTCGTACATCCTCCGCCCTCCACCGTGATGGTAGTCATCATGATTGATCGGGGGGACGCTGTCGCGGATGGTGTTGGTGATGCTGATGATGAGATGTGGAATATTGGAGGCGATGTTGAAAAGGATGGAGGTGATGGCGATTGCGGATGCTCATCACCGTCATGGTGTGTGTGCGCGAGGTGATGATGATCATGATATTCATGGAGATCGAGATCTAGCGGTCAAGATGATGATACTGATGTTGATGAGGGCTAACATAATGATGATGATGATGGTGATGGTAATGATTATGATGATGATGCTGGATATGGTGATTACGATGGCCATCACCCTCTTAAACGGGATAGCGCCACGGTCGGAGTTTGAGACCAGAGTAGGATAGAGAGGATGAGACCCAGCTCATCCACGCATCCTTAGTGATACCTTCCTAGGTCCTACCTCCTTCCCAATCGTTCATGTCCTCCCCCTTCCACCGTCGCCGTCCTCCCCCCTCCCCTACCTCCTCCTCGGACGTCGTTCAGGCCTAATGCCTCAGTCCCCATCCCTATCTTGAATATACTCGCCTCCGCGACCGTCATTGCGATCGACACGGCCATGACACGGGCGTGTCCCACCGGCTGGCAGAGCGGCGCAAGCCGAGCAACACGGGGACCACCCAGCGTCGAGTCGAGCGTCGAGTCGGGCTTTGGCCGACATCGATTCTGTTCATCCTCCGGAACCACCCATCCTCATCGTTGTCACCATCGTCATCGTCGTCGGTCGTCGTCAGCGTCATCATCCTTCCTCCTCCACTCCCCGTTCTCCTCGGGGTCCTACCCTCGGCCCGTGCAAGCGGCGGTATTCTAGCTGCCCTCCGCGGCGGCCATGGACGCGGCCGACTGCTGCGGAGAGGCGATCTCCTTCATGAACTCGATGAAATACACGCGGCGCTCAGCATTCATCTCCTGGCCCATCTTCCTGGGGCTGTGGAGGATGGGGCAGGGCGTTACTTGAGCATCCATGCCAATACTGAGTATGGGCATGGACGATCAAATAACGATGAGGGTTGCGAAATGTGTTGCAAACCTTTCCTCGTGAGCACTTCCACGTTGTAGTTCAGGACCGCCTCCAAAACATTATGGGGGGCAATCTTCATGGCCTCCACGTTCCAGTAGGGCTGCATCCAGATCCCAGCAAACTCAGTCGGCTCCACCTTCTTGGCCCTGTCCACGTTCACGTGGAAAGGCATGAACAACCAGCCCCAGGGGATGTAGACGCACTGCATGGGCTTCAGCTTCTGGATGATCCCAACATCTTTGACGACCTTCGCCGCCTCTGCGGTCTCCATGAACGCAGTCAAATCGCCCAAAGACACCCCCGTGCCGAGGATATTGTCGATCGGGAGGCTCACAAAGAAGAGATCCTCCGACAAGGCCTGCACCACGTGCCCCACTCCAGGCAGGGACACCGACGAGCGCAGCTCCTTGAACGCACCGCGCAATAGGATCGCCAGCCAATGAGATGCAGCGGGAGCACAACAGTCGATGATGCCACCGAACACATGATCATCACCCTCCACGCGGCCGTCGACCTTCGCAATGCAGCCAGTCCATTTCTTGGCGGCCGCGTGGTCGCTTGCCTCCTGCAAGCGCTCGGAGACATGCTTGTGGCACTTGGACTGGAAGACAGCAACCTGCAGGCACACCGGAACGCACGAACTTCGGGGCCAGGGGCAACAAAGAGATGGGGAGGTGGGGTCGTCGTCGACTATTGCACTATTGCGTTGTCCTTTTGTCTGTTTTCCTCCTCCTCCTCCTCGTCCGCGTCCTTCCCTGCCCCTCTATACTGCAGGGGTCAATCCCATCTTCTGTCGTTCCCTCCCCCCTCCTCCTCCTCCTCCTCCTCCTCCTCCTTCACGTTTCCAACCTCCTCGTTCGAATTATCTAGTCCCGTCCATTACCTTCCTCTCCGTTTTTCCCCCTTCCTCCCTTAGGCTCGAAGACCCACCGTGTTCCCTCTGACTCGAGAGTTGCCTTGCCCAGAACGACCGTGAGAGGCACACACACACACACACGCACATACCTCACACGCACACAACACACAGCGCATTGCACTTGGCATGCGTTGCTAGGTAGTATATGTTAGTAGTGCCATCGATATACATTGTACGGATACGATGATATCCACCCATTAATTGATACAGACGCGGCACACACGTAATCCAAATGCATTATTACACGCCACGCATCACACATTACATTTGTTCCATGTGAAACACCACACATTGAATCTAGAACGTAAAACATGTGACACACGTGTCATTTCTTGCGTGAGGTGTTGTACTTGTTGTACGATTTATTCCACAGTGAACTAGCACACGACGTGCGTACGTATGTACACAGTGAGCACACCTATTCCTGAAACGAGTAAATAAC